GGGATGCTAGGGACCGAACCTGGGTCAGTCACATGCAAGGCAAGTTTCTCACCCAGCTTGAAATAGAAAAGACTTTAAGGAACTTGCCTTACACGCTTTAGTTCAAGCCCTGTAATGACAATATGGTTCATTGAGCACCACCAAGAGCAGAGTCAGAACTAGCTCCTGAACACTGCCAAGTGTCGCCCAGAAACCAAAATAAAGGTAAAGGTAAAGGCCCTCCCGTTGATCGTCGATTTGCTCGAGCGGGCCCAGTAACGTCTCCATTGGAGACTTTGTTGTTACTGTGTCTGGCATATCGAATACTCTCGGTAGCTTGCCGGGCTCTCCGAGAAACCAAAATAATAAAGTAATAATAAAAATAATAAAATTAAGTTTTTATTTACTTCTTTTTTGGGCCACACCCAGTGATGATCAGGGGTGACTCCTGTCTCGGCATTTAGAAATTACTCCTGGTGATGCTGGGGGACCATGTGGGACACCAGGGATCAACCCTGGGTCGGCCACATGCAAGGCAAGTGCCCTCCCTACTGTACTCTCTCCAGCCCCAGAAATAAAATTTTTAAAAGGTGATCTTTTGAATGAAATATCAATCTTTCCCCAATAAATCCTCCTTAAAGAAATCATAATTGGTAATTTACTAATATTTATGTAGAGCCTCATGTTTGGAAAATTTTCATTTATAAACATCTTTATAACAACGCAATCATTTTCTACTCATCCACTTCTAATTCTCACTCTTGATAATTTCAACACAGGTGGGAACAGTGACCTGCTTTTTCAACCATTATTCCACAGACATGACTAATTTGAAGCTCAGCAAATTGTAGCTAATGGGTGAGGGATTCACGTTCATGTCAAGTTCATGATTTTTAGTCAGCTTCATCTTGTTTCAGCATGTATGGTCAGTCTTCCCTCTCAACCACAGTCCCTACAGCTGCTTCTGTATGAATCAAATTCACCATCTCAAAGGAAGTTTATTTTGCAAACTCACCAAACCAAATAAAAATTATTTTACAAATAATCAGCAAGCTTATTTATAAATATTAAACCACGAGAAGTCAATCGATGTTTTAAAAATATTTTCTATTTTGTTTGGAGTTCTTAATTTGGGGAGGAGGGAGGTTGGGGCTTGGGGGCTACTCCCAGTGGTGTTCAGGAAACTGTGAATTGCCGGGGATCTAACTGGGGTTAAATACATGCAAGGCAAGTGCCTTCTCCCCTGAACTATCTCTCTGGGCCTGTTAGGAGCGATAGCACAGCGGGTAGGGCGTTCGCCTTACAAGCGGCCAACATGGCCGACCCGAGTTCGATTCCTCCGCCCCTCTCGGAGAGCCCGGCAAGCTACCGAGAGTATTCGATATGCCAGACACAGTAACAACAAAGTCTCCAATGGAGACGTTACTGGGCCCGCTCGAGCAAATAAATTCTAAATATTTAAAAAGCTGGTCTCTTTAGAAACCTCAATAGGTAAGAAAGCAACTTGATGCAGAATTTTACAAGGGCTCAATTTTTTTCATAAAAGCATGGCATAATTCAGTGAAAATTGCCTAGCTCCATTATATGGGCCTTTAAATATATGTGTAGAATATTAAATATATTATATGTATAAATCTCATTTAAGGTCTAGCCTATAGACATGAACACAAGAAAAAGAAACAAAAAAACTAACAAAAACACTTGCTTCTAGAAAGACTATGGAATGATGGGGGTATTTAACATAAAAACAGGAAATCCCTTTTTGCCTGGGTATCTGATGCTTAAATGTTCATCAGTGAACAGAATCTTAAAATGTGAGCTACTGAAGCCTCACTCTTACCTGATTTGCTGGTCACTTTTAGACACACATTGTGTGTGTGTGTGTGTGTGTGTGTGTGTGTGTGTGTGTGTGTGTGTGTGTTACTCTTGACCTTAGAGAAACTTGGCGATTCAGACCTACTTTTTCTTTCATGGGAGTGGAGTGTGGGGAGTGGAGAGAGGGCTGTTAACAGTGATAACAGATTAATATATATATGTATATTACTCGATTACTACAACAGTGAAATAAATTACTATAGATTACTGCTGGTTTCCAGCAAAGATTTCACTTTCTCCCAGATGCTCTGGCAGGCATCCTGGAAAACCACTTCCCACCCAGGGTACCTGGCTTCCCAACTAGCAGAGGAACTGAGCAAGTGGATTTCTCCCTTCACAGGGGCAAGTGGAGATTTCCGAACTTAGACTTTTCCCATCTACAGAAAGCTCCTTCAGCGACAGCTTCCACCTACCTATTTCCAGGGAGTTCTAGTCTTTGCTCAGTCTCATCGGCTTTCCGGAATAAACCCAGTGAGAAAACCTACCGCTTACCTTGGGCTATTTATTTCCCATGTACAAGTCTTGTCGCTGACCCAAATTCTTAAATGTGTTTGACAATAAAAATAATGACTCTAAATTGAGGGGATGTTGGCTGCGTCTCGAGTCTCACCTGGATCTGAGCGTTTCTGTCTTACTGTTGAAAACTAAGGGACAGAACCTTCACAAAGGAAGGAGAGCAAAACACTAAACTTGGCTTCCCCCACACTTTCACACTGAGATTTCTCCTTTACAAGGAAATGTGGAACTGAAACAGTTTATTTATTCAGAGGAATCTAGTTACAGTGAGGGCCTGACCAGACACTAACTTATGAGACTTTGATCAAGGCCGTCACTAACCAAGTTCTCTGGGGTGGGGGAAACAAGCCTTACAGAGAAGCCCCTCTAAGAACACACAATTATTGTGAACTGAATACCCAATAGCCACTTCACTTCGGAACGCTCCCCAATCCTAAAATTCCCACAATTAAACAAGTGCCTGAAGTCGCCAAAGAAACGCATCCTTAGATATCCACAGCAGCGTGTATGGGGCTATGGGTCGCTTTAAGGCTAGATCAGCTTTAGAGGAAGAGAACGAAATACACACCAACAAACACCCGGGAACTCTGTGTAATGGTTCACTGCTCGTGCAAAAACCTCAAAGAGGATGAAGGTCAGACAGGGATAATAGGCCAATTTAATTCTGAAAGCACAAGGTGCAAGAAATTTTAATTATGGTCTGCCACTGAAATCACACAAGATCCAATGGCATCTAACTGCAACTGCTCATCAGGGGAGACAAGAGGTGTAATTGTAACCGCTGCATAATCACTGTGAGGGCACAGGAAAAGCTGCCTTCAGCGCCCAGCTGAGAAAAAAAAAAAAATCCAATGCAGGGAAACATGGAGACTGCACGTAGCCAAACTGGAGCAAACCTCTGTGCGAGTGTGTCTGTGCGGATCTGGGTGTTGTATTGTGTGTGGGGAGGGATGAGGGCTTCGAGCATGAAAGGATTCAGCTGCGTGGCCCAAACTGCGAATCTGGACTTGAGCTCCTTTCTGCTTTGTGGACAGACACCGAGAGAGGCACGAGCTCCAGAAATTTCCCTCCTCGCGAAGCTTCACCCACTCTCCTTTGTTTAAAACAATTAGCTGGGATGGCACCGTGATTTACAGAGAACCGGCAAACTCCCTCCCGTTTGCTCTCATCCCACCCCGATCTTTCAGAACCACGCCAGGCACACGGACGCCAAGTGGCCCGGTCCGTGCAGTTCCCGGGATCGCGACCCCGACGCCCAAGGCCGATCGCTGACCCCCCGCAAAGAAGCGCACGTTCCCCCCCACACACACACACTGCCACCCCCGCGCCCCACGCGCCCCGAGGCCCGCGCCGCTCCGGGTGAAGTTTTCCAAAGCTTCAAGTCCAGAAGCAAAGGCTCCTTCCCATCCGCGCCCGGTGCGAAGTTGGCGCTGAAGTTTGTGCCCGGCGGTCCTGCATCCCCGGGGGGGTAGGAGGGCGCGGGGAGAGGCGTGGGACTGGAGGCGCTGGGCTAAGGGGATGCGCGACGGGACGCTGGGAGCGTTTCCCACCGTGCAAGGTCCGTGCGACCGTCTGCGGCCCCCGGAACCCCGACGGGCTGGAGGCGGAGCGCCCCGGGAGGTCTCGGGGCCAGCGGCGCGGCCCCGGCGGGGGGTTTGCAGGGTCGCTGTCACCTGCGGGGCGGAAGGCGATGGGGGTCGCGGGTGAGGGGTGGGGGTGTCGCCCGCCTAGGCGCCGCGGGGATAACCAAGGGTTCCGCTTCTCGGACTCTTGGGGTTCTAAGAACGGGGTCAAGCGGGGGGGATGCGCAAGCCTGCTGGAGGCCCAAAGCTACACCTTTCGGATAACGCGGTTCGCCCCTCCCACCCCCACCCCGCGACCTCTTCAACTTCCCCCGCGCGGGCCCAGGAACTGGCTGCCAGAGCCCCCACCCCCACCCCCCCACACACACACCCCATCCCGCCGCCTCCACGCGTGGGGAGGAAGCGGCTGGAGATGGATCGGGACCCCCCTGAATGCAAACTCGCACGGCTTCCCCGCTTCCCGCCCGGTGCAAACGCCCCGATGCGTTTCACACACGCAAAAAAATAAATAAATAAATAAATAAATAAATTTCGGGAACAGGGATGGGAGGGGGGTGGGGGGTGCTGAGAAGGAGGTGAAACGGGGGTGGGGGTGCGCGCCCGGCGCTGGTTCCCCGACTTTCCGCGGCTCCCGATAAAGTCGGTGACGACGCCCTCCCGGAGCTGGCTGCAATGCAAAGGCCCACGGAGAGGGCCGGCGGGGGGAACGCGGGAAAAAAAAAAAAAAGCCGGGGGGACCGGAGAGCCGAACTTTGCAGGGCAGCGCTGCCCCGCGCGGCCCGTCGCCATGCTTCGGCTGGCCACCCCCGCCCCCCGCCTGCCTTTCAAGTGGATACTGAAACTAGGCCAAAACTTTTCCCCTCCTTTTCTCCGGGCCACTAGACTGCACGGTGCCCCATGGAGCTCGGCTTTCGGGCGCACAATAGGCCGACTAATTAGATCATACAAGCCGGCCAGTGATACTGTAACAAGTAGCCGGGGCGGCCGGGCGCGAGAGGGGCCCGAGATCGCAGCCAAGGGGCCAAAGTTTGCAGCGCTCGCACTTACCGATCAAGCCTCCCACCAGAAAGGCGACGACCTGGAAGGCCAGCAGGACGCCCCCGACGATGCACAGCTTCTTGGTGCTCATGTTCTCGATAATTGCCCCGGCCATTTTCGCGGGACCCCCACCGCCGCCCCCCACCACCAGCACCGCCGCCGGGACACCCCCTTCTCCCGCCTCCTCCTTTCCCGAACCCTCTTCTCCGGGGCGATCGGGCTTTGGGACGGGGCTGCTACGGGCTCCCTTCTCGTGCCCCGGCTCCCTCCTCCCTCGCCCTCCTCTCTCGCGCCGGGGCGCTGGGAAACTTTCGGGGTGCGGCCGCGCAGGCGGGCGCGGGACAGGGGCGGACGGCAACCCGCGCGGATTCCCCCGGCGCCGCTGGCTCGGGCTCCCCCAGTGCCCGGAGCTGTGATTGTGGCCGCTCCGCCGCCTGTGGACGCTTAAAGGAGCAGAGAAGCGGATCACATGACGCGCCTCCCTCCCTTTCTTCCTCCCTCCCTCCTCCTCCCTCCCTCCCTCCCTCCCTCCCTTCCTCTCCCCTTGCCCGCCCGTGCCCGGCTCCCGGCTCCTCCGGGTGTAGGCGACCCGCTCCCGGCTCCCAGCCGTCCCGCCGGGGGGCGCGTGTCACGTTCGCGGGGGCGGGGGAGGATGCTTTGCTCGGGGGGCTTCCCGCCTGGTACCCCCCGCCTCGCCCACGTTTCCTTTCCCGGACCGCCCGAGTGCGCGGTTGGAGAACCCCCGTGGGCAGCTTTGCAGACCTTTAACTTCATGCATGCACTTGAGAACAGGGGCCAGCCCGGAGTGCAACCGTCGAGGAAAGAGGAGGATTTATTTTATTTTATTTTATTTTTAATTTAAGGGACCCCCCCCCATAGGTGTTGGAGTCACAGGGCAGGATGCCGAATCAAAAATAAATAAATAAAAATTTTTAAAAAGATCCCAGCTCGGCTTATCTCCTGCCCGACCCGATCCCAGCCTGGCTTAGGGGGCACCCCCCCCCCCCGAGACAGCTCCTCCCACGTGGCCCCCTACCCCGGGAAGCCTCCAGCCGAGTCAGACCATCCTTCATCAGTCCAAGGAGCCCTCACGTCGTGCGGTTCCAGAGCCTGCACGCTGCTTCTTCCCTGAAAAGGAAATATGTTTTACTTAGAGGAGTAAATAAACTCCTTTTTTAAAAAAAAAAATCCCGCCGAGCTGTAAAACCTTCCCGATTTTCCAAATCACGTCCGGGAAATAACCCCTGGGAACCCAGCCCCTACAATCCCTAGATATTTTCCGTGTCCCACTGTGAAGGCCTGTGGGTAACTTTTGTCTCTACCTCTGAACTGTGAGCTTCTGCGGGCGGAGGGTGGGGGGGTGGATAGGGACCAAGTTTTATTCATCTTAGTGCCCCCCTCCCCCCCCCCCCCGCCCCCCCTGGTGCCTAACAAAATTCTCACACGGGAAGGGCCACACAAACTTTTGTGGCCTGAATAGGAAAGTGAATGGAACACCAGCCCCCAGATTGCATTTCAAAAGCCTACAGGAGCCCTTATTTGATTTAGAGGGGACAGGCATTAGGTTACAATGTTTGTTTGTTGTCTCTTCGGGAGGATAGATTTATATTTATCCTTAACTTCCAGGGGGGAAGGAGGGCGGGGACTCAGGAGATTTCCTGTTCTCTCAAGCCTAAATTCCAGGGCCAGATTCCTGGGCCTAGAGCTTCTCTCTTTCAGGATCCTGTATCAACCATGCAGACTCTTGGTTTGGTGTCAAACGTGTGTGCATGCGTTCATGCTGCGCGCGCGCGCGCGCGCGCACACACACACACACACACACACACACACACACACACTCGCTCCTTCTCCACTTTTCCTCCCTCTTCATGCCAAACAAGGAGCTCTCCAATTCCAGTCACCCCTTTTTTTCTGTTCCCCAAACTCTTACATTGCCTTTACAGAAGGTTCCAGGCAGTCATATGTTGGAGGTTGAATAGAGCTGTTCATTTTTAGTGTCCAATTAGACCAGACACTCCTTTAAAGACAGTACCGGGCTTTATGGATATGCAACACCATCTCCTTGGAGTGGAGTCTTTACCAGTTCTAAGGATGAAGCTGTGGTACGTTGGTTCTTTCCTTTGGCCCTTTAAACACATAGCTTTGGAATGAGCCCTTAACCATTTTCAGGCTTTCTTTTCTAGCCCTTGAGACCACCAGGATATGAAGACACTCGTCTTTGTCCTGAAGGAGATGCCGTGTAGTTTGGTTCTCTGCATGGAGATCCCATTGAATCTGTTGCTTCCTAATGCAAAGAGCAGTGAGAACTGTTAATCATAGTGGTTAAAAGAGTTTGGTACTTCGACTGAGACCAGCCGGGTTATTAACCTTCTTTCTTTATCCTTTCAAAAGTTTACATTTTTTTAAAAAATTTTTAAATGACAGTAGTAACTTCCAGGGCCTCCTGAAAATAATTAAGAATGAGGAGGTTTGGGGATGCAACTCAGTCATAGAGAACATCAATGGCATAGATGAGATTCTGGGTTCCATCCCCAGGACCCAAAAGCGAGAAACAAAGAAGGAGGAAGAGGTAAAGGAGGGGGAGGGAGGGAGAGAAGAAGAAGGAAATACCTTTTTCACCTCTGCTACTAATTAACTCCACATTCCAAGTTCTCTTCTCAGCTAGCTGCCACCTTCCACACATCTGAATAGTAATGATGACTTTGAGTTCAGATTTCTTTTTGTTAATACAAATAGATTTTTTTTAAGTCAGGTTGATAAGATCCTGTATCAAGATTTGTTCTCTTATTTGATACTGCATTTCCCTACTTTAGAAAAACTGATGTTTCCAAATATTAGTTGGATCCAAAAAATAAGTCTTGTTTAATTGAATTGACTTATATGTTAAAGAAAAGCAAGCCACTAAACCCATCTTTCTAGCAACTTCTATAATATACTCCACCTTTCAGCTCCCAAATGCATCTCTTCAGCTCAATTGGCCTAACTCTTTTTTTTTCTTTTTGGGTCACACCCCGCGATGCTCGGGGGTTACTCCTGGCTCATACACTCAGGAATTGCTCCTGGCAGTGCTCAGGGGACCATATGGGGTGCTGGGAATCAAACCTGTGTCGGTCATGTTGGCTGCGTGCAAGGCGAACGCCCTGCCCGCTGTGCTATCACTCCAGCCCCGGCCTAACTCTTAAATTCCAAATCTTCTGATTACCCACCCACTGAGGTGATTCTCTATCTAGAAAAGGCATTTGTTTTGGAGTCACTTTAATGAAACATAAATTTCTCATTGCTAATCCATGCATTGAGTTTACCAGTATTGCATCCAGATTACCAACATTGTGGTAATTACCAACAAAGTAGGGGGAAAGACAAATCATTACCGTAACTGCCTAAAATTCTTGCGGTGTCCATTAAGTCTTTTTAAATACTTAACATGGGCAGAAGGGAAAGGGTGGAGATATAGCACAGGGCTGAGAACTCTTGACTTGCATACATGTGGTGGTGACTGTTCCATTCTCAGGACCAGAGGACCTCCCAGCCTCTGCCAGGAGCAACCCCCAAGCACAGAGCCAGGGAATAACCCCACAACACCATTGGGTGTGGCTCCTCAAATAAGATAAACATATCTATCTAAAGTGTCCACTGGGTCCTTCTTTCTCAAGAGCTGTCACCGATGCGTAGGAAAGAACTCATGAATGTTCGAATCTGCCCCTTGGAAACTTCCAGCACCTCTCAGGTTAAGCTTGTGGTTTTTTACAAGTGATCAGAGGTCATTTCATAGTCACTCAGCTGCTTTGGGGCTTAGTTTTCTAGCACTTAGCTCATGGTATTCTTGTTAGGAGGTTGAGTGCTTTGTTTTTGTTTTTTTTTTTTCCATTCCTGGGATGATACTGGGGCCGTGAGGAACCATAGGGTGAAAGGGATTGAACCCAGTGTTCCTGTGTGTAAAATTTGAACATCTCTCAGGCCCCTATTCAGGAAGTCTTAAAGGAAGCCAATAATTTTGTGTAAAAATACTAGTAAAATTGATCATTCCTTGGTTGTTTTTCATTTTTTAATAACATTTTAGTATTTTTGAAATATATTTTTAGGAAACGTCTAGGGGATTTATACAAAAGTTTGTTATTGATCAACTTACATCCTATAATTCGAGTAATTAAATATTTCTGAGTTGAAAGAAAGAGAAATTGAAAAACTGAAAGAGTAGGGGAAGGAGGAAGGCAGGGTGGGGACGAAGGGAGGGAGCTAGCCTGGCAAACTACCCATGACGTATTCAGTATGCCAAAAACAGTAACAACAAGTCTCACAATTTGTTGTGCGACGTTACTGGTGCCCGCTTGAGCGAATCAATGAACAAGGGGAGTACAATGCTACAGTCTAGAGGATTAATGATTCCATATAGGTGCTAACAAGGTCAATGTTGTTGAAGTCTGAACATTACTCAGTCAACCTTAGAACTGTAGCACTGTTGTCCTGTAGTTCATCGATTTGCTCTAGTGGGCACCAGTAATATCTCCATTCATCCCTGTCTGTTCGCTCCAGGAACATGAAGTGAGACTTGTTGTTACTGTTTTTGGCATATTGAATATGCCATGGGCAGCTTGCCAGGCTCTGCTGTGCAGGTGGGATACTCCCAGTAGCTTGCCAGGCTCTCTGAGAGGGATGGAGGAATCGAACCTGGGTCAGCCACATACAAGACAAACGCCCTACCCACTGTGCCATCGTTCCAGCCAACCTTACATGTGGAAATGTTCCCTTTGCGAAACTGTTCCCAGCCACCAAGATAATGTTTTGCTTTGTTTTGTTTTGTTTTTGCACCCTTAGGCAGATTATCTTGTAGGCTAATTCAAGGATGTACAAAAATGGTTCATTCCAACTCCATTTTACTGGGCTTTGTGTTGGAGAAGAACACATCTACTTTTTATTTGAGTGTTTCGCATATGGAAGGCCCTAATGAAATTCAGTGTGCATTTATTGAATGGGTGCGTGAATGAATGTATGTGTAAATAAATATCTAATCAAGGTAGATTAAGAGGAACTCTTCCCTGGTTCTAATGCCTGAATCTTACTCACTGACAAATGTCTCTCTGAAAACAGATAATCTGGACTGTCTCTTCTGCCCATCTACCCACATGTTGGATTGTGAT